TTCATGTACATTTTGCAGTTCAAAGCACTTAACGTAATGAAAGAGTGATGCCTTTAATGAGAGGGCAACAGCGCCGTGTGCTGCCTTAGGGCACAGTATGAGGGTAATGGTGATGTGACTGAAGTTTTCTTCAGACCTTAGTAGAGGACCATGGCAGGTGGAAGAAGTCATGCACAACACATTCACAGTATGTGTTTGAGACAGAATGCAGAAGTTATTTTGCCAGTTCTGCCATGATTTTGTTTTGGAAGGAAATTTTTGTGCCAGTCCAGGGGGCAACCAAGGCCAAACAAGCATGTGCTCCCAGGGGTAGGAACCCAAGGGACCAGGGCCCTAAAGAGAAAAGAGGAGCAGGGGCAAGCAGGCAGTGAGAAAATATATCTATACCACTAAGTTAAACATATTAGCTCTATTTACCATTACTTCATATTATCAAATTCTCTGTGAACAAATGCCCTGCTCAAGTAGTTATACTATGAAGAAAACTAACTTCACCCAGTAAAACAAATAGAATCAGGAAAGGGATAAGAAGACTATAGTTCAAGTCTGGAGAACAAAAAATAACCATTTATGATGATTACAGGGTTTCCATAATCTTTTCTCTCTACCTAGAGAGGGTGATGACTACATCTTGCATCCCTCAGTTGTGTAAGGGTCCAAAAAAAGTGAAACAAAATGCAAAATACTGTTAAACAACTGCTGCTATAGTTAAAAACATTTATAAGATTTAAACTAAAATGAGCAGGCCTTAGTTCCTTCCTCCTTTCTGCTTTTATTTTATCTGCAATTATGTTGGAAGATAGGATGATGAATACTGGCATTCTCAAAATATACTGTCAGAATTTTCTTGTACTTTAATATTATTTTCTTTTTGTTTTCCTTCTTAAAATTATAGAATATTTTGAGTTGGAAGGTATGTTTGAACATCATCTAGCTCAAACTCCTGCAATGGACAGTGGCATCTCCAACTAAATCAGGAGACTGTTGAAGAAAGACCAAAAATTCTCTCACTGCAGAAAGTACAGCTTAGACTTCATGATGGTACTTTCATATAACCTCAACTGGTTATCTTAACTAGCACATTTATTCAGCAGCTGTGCAAAGAGAATACTTGTAAGAATACTTGTTTTTTTGTACTTCTCCTAATTTTCATAATAGACCATTTTCATTGTCTTTCCATCCCAATTTCAACAGACTGTTCATTTCATCTACTTCTTTATTTATTTAATCTACTTATTCTGTTTTATGGAATGTTTCCATTGCTTGGGATATTGGCCTGCAAGTCCAATATTTTAATGGTCATGATTTAGTGGAATAGTATGAAAGCTCCTTTTACCTATCTAAATTATGTCTGGCATAATAGAACTTACATCTTGCAGTCCATTGCTTGTTCCTACTGTTATTGAGCACAAATTACAAAATAAATCTTTAGGTACTTCTGCTGTTCTAAATCCTCCATTTTGTTTCAGTCTCACAATTGCTGTTGCTACTGGTAATAATAGTAAATCAGCATATTCTCTGTGATTTACATTAATATTATGAAGTCCAGGTGTTAGACTCTTTTTAACATCCTCCACTCTCTGTCAGATGATGTGGGACAAAAGGTAAAGATAATTAAAATAATTAGAAAAGTTCAAGTATGAGATTTGTGTTAAATATCACAGAAAATCCCAGTCTGCAGTAGGAGATTGATATGTTAATTAGCTTGCACTTTCACTAAAAGGAAATGTTAAATAAGATCTCCACACACTTTATAAGCAGAACAGCTTGAACAATGCTTATCCTTAATCTAAGAAATACTTTAATGAAATAATTCTTTGGGTTTATTATCTCATTTTTATAGTAATATAGTCTTATATTTGACAAAGGTAAGTAAAATTATTATTAAATTTCATATTTGAACACAAATATTTCTTTCTAATTTTATAGTGTTCATCATAGTGCTTTGGCTGAAAAAGGGAGATAGGAATTTGAAAATAATTTAGACATGAGTCTGGGAATGTCACATCCTTGCTTATTGGACTTAAGATGCAAGCCAAGTTTCAAGGACTGGCTTTTGACCTGCCACTTTGTGCTGATCTGCCATATTAGACATTTGTCTACAGTTAAGAAAAAAGATAAATGTATAATGCAATCAGTTATTGTAAAGTCCAATTTCTTTCATTTAAAGGGGAATTTAGAATGTTTGTTTTCTGGAACTTCAGAAGGAGATAGTGCTAATGTTGATGTACAAAATCCTGTTCCATTTCAGAAACAAAGTTTGAAAATTATTCCATGTTGTTTTAGTTACATTTATATTATTTAGTTTGTGTCTTTGATGTCTTTCCTTTTGCTTGTTCCCTTTCAACTTAGTCCTTTGGCTCTTTCATATATAAGAAAATTCTGTCAAAAATATTCAATAAAATATCTAAGACTAAACATGGTTCATGGATTTATCTTGTTTATTGATTTAAGATATGCTTGAAGAGTCCCTTTATTATTAATTGACTCTGTAGCAGGTTACCTGGTATGTAAAAAAAGTCAGATATGTTTTTACAATTAATTAAATAAAAGGGTGCTTAATCATCCCACATCCACACCAGCTTTCATTTGTTAGAAAATGTGATCTGCTTCTTAGATTGCACAGGACCATGTGAATGGAGCCTGGGAGCCTTGGGAATCAGGAGGCTGGGAGAAGTTCCTTTCACTGCTGCAGCTGCTGCCACATATAAAGTAACCAGCATGCTCATATCCTTGAACATACACTTGTATGCCTTTACNCAAAGCTAAACAAATTCCAAAGGCTTTGATTTAGTTTTTAGTTTTTAGTTTTTAGTTATAAATAAACCACTGAGAACTGCAATATCTGTGAACTCATCTAGTGCTGAAGCAAAGAGGCAGCTGCTCTTAGTTCTAGTAATAAATGTGTTTTGAAATATTTTGATATGGTAATATCCCAATATCCCAATAATTTTGTCCAAAGCTAGGCTAGACCTAATTGATAGTCTTTTTCCTTTAACATGGCTGTTACCATATCTTTTTCAAAATATAGCACCAGATTTTCTGTCTCTGTGAAGTTCTTCAGGCCAACTGTTACAGGTTTATACAAAAAGATGCTTAAATAATTCAGTAAATGACAGAAGAGAGCCAAAATTTATCTTTTGCTGCCAGTTCACATACACCAAATTCCATACTTCTTTATTTTAAAAAAAGTATATTTTTATCTTTATAAAACCTTAATAAAGGCTTGATAAAGACTTAATTTTCACATTTCAAAAATTCAGTAAATTTTGAAAAATCTGAAACTCAATGAAGATAACTGGCTGATTTAGATCAAATAACACTAGAATTTCACACACTGCATCAAATTTCCACTGCTTTCATGCTTTTCACCACGTATAGGACAAGTTTTGCCTTATTTGATTAATTTTTAAGAACCCTGAGGGTTTGGATTTTTACTCTTTCTGTCTCAAGTCACTCAAAATAGTAACTGAAATGTGATTCACTTCAAGATCAATTGACAGTTTTCTGACATATTGCAGAGTGGTAGATTGTGAAATAGAAACACCTGAAAGTATAAACACAACATGATAGGAACTTTTTTTGAAAGTACTATGAGATGATAACAGAGGTTCCAAGGTAAAAAAATACTTATGGTCAATTGCAATCACTAAGAGAATACAACCCTGGGAGATGGACATACCTTGTCCTCAGGGATAGCAGCAAGGACAAAATATGCAAAACATTCTCTGGGTAATAAAGGTCAGATATAGACTGAATTTTTTTGAGCAGTGTTGACAGGGAGAGTAATTAGCGAAAAAAAACACATAAAAAGCTCTAAAAAGTTTTGTGGATATTCTGATTTTGCAATCTTTGGTTGAAATTAAGAAAAGCTTAGTCTACTCAAATTATTTTTGCTTAAATGAGGACCCTACTGGCTGTACATCAATATTCTTTGGCAAATAAAATGCTTCAGAACTGTTCAGACACATGACCTCTCAGCTTGATATTTATTAAAGAAATTCAGTCATTTCCCAGACAAGTTTCTGTGAGACTCAGAGGTGAGGGAAATTTTGTGCAGTTTGGCAGTGCATTGGCATGGCTGGACTTGCTCACATAAATCTATGTGAGCTCCCAAACTAAAGCCCACTGGTTTGGAGGACTCACATATGATTCATGTGATGATGGGATGGTAGCACTCAAGATTTGTAAATGCTCTTCCTTAAAGTGAATGACAAAATTCAGAAGGCTCACAAAACAATCATAATGTTTTATTAGTAAATTATACATTTGGCATGGAAATTGGTGTGTTAGTCCCTGATCTATGAAAAAAGTACATGGCAGAAGATTTTGGATAAAGCACCAGGAGAAGAGAAGAGAAGAGA